CTCGGTCTCTGAAGGACAATCAGAGGAACAATGATTGTGAGGGAGGAGAATCAGAGGAGTCTTTTTGGCTAAACTGCTGCCCAACAGGAGAGCTGCCTTTGAAGGCAGTGACTAGTTAGGCAGCTGCCTCCAGAATGGACCACACTAAATATATACACTGATCAGGCACCACCTCCTTGTTTCTACGCTCATTGTCCATTTTATCAGCTCCACTTACTATATAGGTGCACTTTGTAGTTCTACAGTTACAGACTGTAGTCCATCTGTTTCTCTGATACTTTGTTAGCCCCCTTTTACCCTGTTCTTCAGTGGTCAGGACCCCCATGGACCCTCACAGAGCAGGTACTATTTGGGTGGTGGATCATTCTCAGCACTGCAGTAACACTGACGTGGTGGTGGTGTGTTAGTGTGTGTTGCGCTGGTCTGAGTGGATCAGACACAGCAGTGCTGCTGGAGTTTAAAACACCTCAGTGTCATTGCTGGACTGAAAATCGTCCACCAACCAAAAATATCCAGCCAGCGTCCTGTGACCACTGATGAAGGACTAGAGGATGACCAACACAAACTGTGCAGCATCGTCTCTGACTTTACATCTACAAGGTGGACTGACAAGGTAGGAGTGTCTAATGGAGTGGACAGTGAGTGGACACAGTGTTTAAAAACTCCAGCACCACTGCTGTGTCTGATCCGCTCGTCACAACACGCACTAACACACCACCACGTCAACTACAAAGTGCACCTATACAGTAAGTGGAGCTGATAAAATGGACAATGAGTGTAGAAACAAGGAGGTGGTCAGAATGTTATGCCTGATCAGTGTATGTGTATATATGTATATATATCATTATACTCCTGGGTTTCCATGTTACAGGCACTTTAATCAGGGCAACAACTGAAAAGCAAAGTTGAAAATCTCACTCCCAAGTTGGCAACACTGCAAAACCACTATAGGCCGAACCACCTTAGTCCAGATCAAGTTTCTTTACTGGTTTGGATAAACAGAGCTGACAGAGTGAGAGAAGGACCTGCCCACTAACTTACAGCCGAGAACCTTCAAGGCGTTTTGTCAGACAAACATCTACTCTCCCACACACTCTCCGCATCTCTGCCTCACACACACACACACAGACACACACACACACAGACACAGACACACACACACACACAGACACACACACACACACACACACACACACACACACACACACAGACACACATCAGGAGAGAATGAGGCCGCCAGGAGGGATGAATGTGTGTGTGTGTCTGTGTGTGTGTGTGTGTGTGTGTGTGTCTGTGTGTGTGTCTGTGTGTGTGTGTGTGTGTGTCTCTGTGTGTGTGTGTGTCTGTTGTGTGTGTGTGTGTGTGTGTGTGTGTCTGTGTGTGTGTGTGTGTGTGTGTGTGTGTGTGTGTGTGTGTGTCTGTGTGTGTGTCTGTGTGTGTGTGTGTGTGTGTGTGTGTGTGGGGGAGTAAAACAGTTCAGCGCTGCTGAAAATGCCACAACACACCACAGGCTGGATCTCCCCACGCCGCTCTGCTGCTGTGGAGGGGATTAGAGTTCAACCTATAACCAGTGACGCACGACTCCGGGTTTTCTGGAGTCGACTAACATCACTGAACTCAATTTTTATTTTTACCTCACTGTAACACACCTGATCTTAACGCGTCTCACTGTAGCACACCTGATCTTAACGTCTCACTGTAGCACACCTGATCTTAACACGTCTCACTGTAACACACCTGATCTTAACGCGTCTCACTGTAACACACCTGATCTTAACACGTCTCACTGTAACACACCTGATCTTAACACGTCTCACTGTGACGCACCTGATCTTAACGCGCCTCACTGTAACACACCTGATCTTAACACGTCTCACTGTAGCGCACCTGATCTTAACACGTCTCACTGTAGCGCACCTGATCTTAACGCGTCTCACTGTAACGCACCTGATCTTAACGCGTCTCACTGTACCCCTGATCTTACGCGTCTCACTGTACCACCTGATCTTAACACGTCTCACTGTAACACACCTGATCTTAACACGTCTCACTGTAACACACCTGATCTTAACACGTCTCACTGTAGCGCACCTGATCTTAACACGTCTCACTGTAACGCACCTGATCTTAACGCGTCTCACTGTAACGCACCTGATCTTAACGCGTCTCACTGTAACACACCTGATCTTAACGCGTCTCACTGTAACACACCTGATCTTAACACGTCTCACTGTAACGCACCTGATCTTAACGCGCCTCACTGTAACACACCTGATCTTAACACGTCTCACTGTAACGCACCTGATCTTAACGCGTCTCACTGTAACGCACCTGATCTTAACGCGTCTCACTGTAGCACACCTGATCTTAACGCGTCTCACTGTAGCACCTGATCTTAACACGTCTCACTGTAGCACACCTGATCTTAACGCGTCTCACTGTAGCACACCTGATCTTAACACGTCTCACTGTAACACACCTGATCTTAACGTGTCTCACCGTAACACACCTGATCTTAACGTGTCTCACTGTAACACACCTGATCTTAACGCGTCTCACTGTAACACACCTGATCTTAACGCGTCTCACTGTAACACACCTGATCTTAACGCGTCTCACTGTAACACACCTGACCTTAACGCGTCTCACTGTAACACACCTGATCTTAACGCGTCTCACTGTAACACACCTGATCATAAGCCACTTGATTTTCATGCACCTGATCTCAAATCACTGGTGCGCTGATTGTGATACACTTGGTTTTAATGCACCTGCATATAAAGCATCTTAATACACCTAAGGCACCTGATCACAGTGCACTTACAGAACACCTGGGCTTAGAGCACCTGAACATAAGGCACGGGACCTCAACACACCTGATCTCAGTCTATTACACTGTAATAGCGCACCTCGTCTTACCGCACCTGAACGTAAAGCACCTGATCCTGACTGTAATGCACCTGACGGGTGGCACACCTGATCCGGCCAATCCAGACGGTCTGAAGACACTCATTACCTGGATCAGGTGTGTTAGCCGAGGACTGAAACCAGACTCCCCGCACCTCCTCCTTACCTGCCACAGGTGCAGTGACACACGCGATCCGCCCCGCGCACGTGCGGCAGGATGTAGTTGTGAAAGCGGTCCAGCAGCGCGTTCATGTCCAGGCAGCACGCGATGGCCTGGAGGAGGAGCAGCACAGCGCGCGCTGGTCATCACACTCTTACCAAAAAAAAATGATGCAGAAAGGCTCAGCGAGTGTCACGCGCTCACACTGCACACCACCGCGTCCTAAACGCTGCTCTGTGTGCGCGCGAGCGAGTGTGTTTCCTCACCATCACCACAGCAGCGCCGATCAGCATGAAGATCATCCTCCTCCTCCTCCTCCTCCTCCTCCTCCTCACTGCAGCTCCATCGGTCACCACGTCACCGCGCGCCGAGCCTCCATGCCTGCGCGCGCGCGCGCGGGGCACTAACTGCCCCCTCGTGCCCCTACTGCCCCCCCAGCAGCAGCACCAGCAGCAGCAGCTCGTGAGATTCCGCGATGATACAGAACGCAGTCTCGCGCTCCGCTCCGCGCCATCCACTTCCGCTCTCGCGCGCCTCGCACCGCGGCGCCTCCTAACGGCTCCGGCGGGAAACACACCCACACAATCTTACAAAGATGGTTCTTCATGGGTTCTTTAGCAAAGGAAATGGTTCTATTTCGAACCATGAGTTCTACATAGAGCCATTTCATGCTTATAGGGTTCTCTGCTTGTGAACATGTTCTTCAGATTGGTGGAGAATGTGTTGTATATGGTTCTACATGGTGCCACTAGAACCATTAGGATTAAAACCTGATGGTCTGGCTTTCTAATAGAAATTGGCTTATTGGTTACCATTAGAGAACACTAGATTCCTGTAGAACACCTTTAGATCCTATTAGGAAACATCAAATGTATCTGGAATCAAAGCTGTTGAACCTGTGAAACCATTAGAACCTTTTACACTGTGATATCAACCCATCAGGAAAACACAGAACACCATTAGATGCTATTACACACCATCAGCAACCAGCAGAACCTTTTAATGCTTCCATGATTTTTTTCAGCACGGGACTAGCACCACGAAGGGTTCTTCTGCTGGTACGATGTCAAACCTGTAACACTAGAGAACATTCTTGGTGCTATACAGAACCAGATAGAAGGTTCTCTATGGAACCATGTACAAATATGATGGAGAATGTGTTGTTGTTCTATATAAAACCTTTTCTGAAAGTGGTACAAGCATGACATCATAACCAGAACCCGTCAGAACCCTTTTTGAGCTGTTTAAGGGGGGGCAAATACTTTTTCACACGGGTGATATAGATTTCGAACAAATCTGTATCGTCAAGAAACTAAATGATCGTTTGAAAGCTGCATTTTGTGGGGGCAAATACATTTTCACAGCACTGTGTATGCTTATATACTGTTTATACTGATTTCCATTTAGTGTCCAGTCAAAATGGCCAGTTAATAAAGTACAAGTTATTCATTTTTCAGTTTATGGTTCTATATAGAACCATTGTCTTTACTAAAGAACCCGTGAAGAACCATCTTTTTCAGAGCTTTGTTTTTTTAGCACAGTGTTTACACATAGAAGATCAGGCGCTCTGGGTTTTTCCAATCTGTGTAACTAAATATGTAAATAAACAGAAACTGTGCAGTAAAATTAGCAGGATAATGTCACATTAAAGTGTGTGTAACTGGGGTGCTAAAACTTTTGCATAACACCAATCCGTGCTGTAAGACTCTCTCTGGCACAGGAAGGCTGTAAGTGGTAAAGTGTGCGCTGCAGCGTTGGGCCTGTAGCCCTGGTGTTACACTCTCGCCCCGCTGTACCTGCACAGGTGAGACACACCTGTGAAACTCGACCAGGTCAGCTTTGTGGGGGCTCTGAAATCAGGCCGGTGTGGCTGCAGTAATAATGCATGAGGCTCACAGTCTCACTGTGCGAGTCCAGCTGACGCTCCATTAGCTTAACGAGTTTTTACAGCACCGCTTACCTCAGTATCAGTTTATTACGCCCACCGGACCTGTAACCACACACACTGGCCACTTTATCAGAAACACCCCCACACAGCCGCACTGCAAAGGTGATCAGGTGTACAGACCCTGTTTACACCTGCGACTTGAGTATCAGGATGAGGCCACAAGTCGCAATTAAAACAGATCTGATCACCCAAACCACTTCAGGAGGTGGACTGAGCCACGTTACAGCAACGTAAACACATCCGTCTCTCCGAGATACATTCAACAACCGAAACTCCTCCCAGTACAACTGAAACTCCTCCCTTTACAACCAAAACTCCTCCCAGTACAACTGAAGCTCCTCCCAGTACAACCGAAACTTCTCCCAGTACAACCGAAATTCCTCCCAGTACAACCGAAACTTCTCCTCTTACAACCAAAACTCCTCCCAGTACAACCGAAACTTTTCCCCTTACAACCAAAACTCCTCCCAGTACAACTGAAGCTCCTCCCAGTACAACCGAAACTTCTCCTAGTACAACTGAAACTCCTCCCAGTACAACTGAAACTTCTCTCAGTACAACCGAAACTCCTCCCAGTACAACCGAAACTCCTCCCAGCACAACCAAAACCATCATAGTACAACCGAAACTTCTCCCAGTACAACTGAAACTCCTCCCAGTACAACTGAAACTTCTCCCAGTACAACTGAAACTCCTCCCAGTACAACTGAAACTTCTCCCAGTACAACTGAAACTCCTGCCAGCACAACCAAAACCATCATAGTACAACCAAAACCCCTCCCAGTGCAACTGAAACTACTCCCAGTACAACCATAACTCCCCCAGCACAACTGAAACCCCTCCCAGCACAACCAAAACTCCTCCCAGTACAACTAAAACTCCCCCCATGCAGTGCGTCACTGGGCTCATGATCTGTGTGTGGGGAAGATAATCATGGACTCTCACGTTTGGGGGAGAAACTAAAAGCTTAATAGCAACACAAACAAAACACACTTAAGATGAAGCAGATGAACAGTTGGTAACTGGTTGCCCCATGATGAGTCCGACTAACCGGCAACACATCTGACCACTGAGTGTAAATACATGAGGCTAAAATCTCATCAGGATACAATCCAGATGCTGGACACAGGAAGTGACCAGGTGTGAACAGGGTCACAGACTGCTGCTCAGCTGTTAGTGCAGTTTATCAGCCCCTCTTCATCAACAGAAAGAGACCACTGACCAGACAGGCTGTGTGTGGTGGGCTGTAGGGCTGGATGATTTGGAGGAAATATTCAACTGCGATGTTTCTGACCAACATTACGACTGTGATCTAAAGCTGCACTGTGTAAGATTTGGGGATTTAGAGCCCCCCCCTGGTGGAAACGTGTAACTACACGCAGAACATTCTGTAGGGTGGGGTGGTGCTTCTTCCCCGAGTGGATGAATCTGATGATTAAAGGAGAATTCAGGGAGAACTCTGTGTCTCTGAGGATGTGAGTGAATTATCTACTACTGTCATCTTATCTTCATCAGTATGATGTTGATTTGAGATCATTTGAGGCCGAAACATCGAGCCGGACCTTCTTTTAGAGTCTGTGTGTGACGTTAATACGTAAATTTTAAATGAAACCTTTTAAATGATTTTTTTTTAAACCTTTTAAATGGTTATTTCAGGCTTTACAGGGCGACTCGCAGCAGCAGCGCCGTATTTTAGCCTGTTTATATTCTCCTCACTCAGAAACGACACTTCTTTCAGTTTTAACAACAAATTCTTACATAGTGCAGCTTTAATACTGCCATCATTTACTATAAATTAAGGCCTTTTTTGGTTAAGAATACCAGCATTTTCCACTTTTTCCTGGCTTGAAAAAGTCAGTTGAATGTAATGGTTGTGATGTCACAGTGTTTGATTGCTCTTTAAAAACAATTCATCTTTCAGCCCTGGTAGGTGTTTCTGTTAAAATGGCCGATCAGCGTAGATACAAGACAGGAGGATAACAGTGTTCACTAAAATGAAATCAGGAAGAAAAAGTAAACCGACTCAGTGAGTAGAAACAGCAGGTTTGTTGCATTTCAGAGGTTTATTTTTTTATATTTTTTTAGCATAGTATTTACACAAAGAGGATCAGGCACTCTGGACTGGCGCGTTCTTCGCTTACAATTATACTCGTTTTCAATTTACAAAGAAGGAAAAAAAAAAACAAACCAAACTCATCCTGAATATTTTCCAAGTCAAATAAGGTTTAAATAACTATAAACAAAATTAGAAATTACAGAGAAACCATCAGAAACTATCATCATCATCATCATCATTCAAGTAGAAACATGTTTTTAATACACTATTTCACTCAGACCGTCACACTCAGACACTCCGACCCCCCAAAGAAGCAGAAGGGGGCTATAAAACGGCCCACTTTCAGATACGGGCAATAGGTTTAACATAAAACCAGACAAAGAAAAAATAATCTAGTATACAGTCGTATGCAAAAGTTTCAGCGCCCCAGACAAAACACGCTGTTCTTGAATCCCTAAGCGTGAATAAGTAAACACATCCTCTACAGAGGCACACTTCTGCACATCCTAATGCACAATTACTGTTTATATTGTAATTCATATATTTGCTCAATTTGACATTTTGGGGGGGGAAAAAACATAAAACATAAAATGTAGCCTGTGCAAAATTTTTGTTTTAATTGTATGTTTCATTAGAAATTGTGCATCAAAATTTGCAGATGAATACCACACTTTTAGTGTGTTCTCTGTCGAGGACGTTTACTAATTTTAACTTAGAAAAATCATCAAAACATGGCATTTATCACACTTTGCACACAACTGCATATCATATATATATATGGTGGGTCAGTATTTCAGTTCTCATGTGTAATAGCTGCAGGTTTGGGGGATAGAAAGGGAAAAAAACATGATTTTTGATGCGTGTGTGTGTGTGTGTGTCTGTGTGTGTGTGCGTGTGTGCGTGTGTGCGTGTGTGTGTGTGTGTGTGCGCGCGCGTGTGTGTGTGTGTGTGCTTTCTGAATGGTGTCAGTGTGTTTCAGTGTGACAGGCTGTGTGAGAATGTAGGGCTCGCTGTGCTATTTTAGGGCACAATTCACAAAGGATTTCATAGCCGACTGGATAATTCAAGCCTAAACTGGGCTCTGACCAACTACAGTCTGTGCTCAGCTCTTCTCCTGTTGGCCAATCCTGACTTCTAGCTTAAATTATCCAGCTGATTAATCCAGCTTTGTCCAACACCACATGGAACAGCGCAGATTTAATAAAGCAGGGATTCTCAGTAAGCCAGAATGGAGGATCGTTCAATAATGCTTGTTTATTTTTATGCTAATTTATTCTGCTATTCGTTGTTATTTACATTATTTCATACAGAGCGAAGCACTTTGAGATGCATGAACGGCGCATATAAAGTCGCCATTATTATTGTTTGAAAATACCCTCAGCTCGTCTATTCCCCACTTTAGGCTCAAGTTATCCAGATAACTGCTCTATGAAACGAGCCCTGAGGTGGCCGCTGTAGCAGTTAAAGTTCAAGGCCTGGACTAAACAGCGGTGAGCCTGAAGTCTCTGGACTGAGTGACCAGACCAGCACAAGTGACGTTCAGACCAGGAGACTCTGCGTGTGTGTTCTTATGTCTATGTATGTCATTCATGTTCCGTAGGGGCTCTTATGTGCATATATGTGTGTGACTATGAAGTGGTCAGTAGAAGCAGACCGTGTGGAGGAACGGACGACTGCTCTTGTCCTCAAACTCCTGCAGCAGCTCATCTATTTCGTTCTCCATATCGTCAGTGTGCTGGATCTGTGAGAGAGAGAGAGAGAGAGAGAGAGAGAGAGAGAGAGAGAAAAAGAGAGAAAGAGAGAGAGACACACAACAGATTTAACAGTATTAACGCAGACCGCACGGTGACCGTCTCATCAACACAGGTGTGTGTGTGTGTGTGTGTGTGTGTGAGGGAGATACTCACACATTGGCAGAGCTCACAGATGAGGAACGCTCCGAGTGTGGCCTCCTCATGGTTGTCCTGTATGTCTACGTTAATGACGTGGACAGGCTGGAACGTCTCCTGCTCACGAGAGTTCAGATCTAAAGGGAACACACACACACACACACACACACACACACACACACACACACACACACACACACACACAGCTAGTGTTACACCGGACCCCCCTGAACTTCACGTGTACACACACATGATCTGCACACACCTCCATTAGAGCTCAGTAACCCTGGTCATAACTCATGCAGGTAAGCGTGTTCTAGAATGAGGTCTGGAAAAGGAAAATTACACTGACTTTTCAAAATTTCTGCCTAATTAAAAGGTTGAGATGTAAACAGAGTCGTTCAGAGTGGTCTGGTATGAAATGCTCCGTTCTAGAGAAACTCAGAGTGATAGGAACCAGACGTCCACCTCTAAAAGCTCCCTCACAGAAAGTTCCTACATGAAATGGTTATGAATTCACTGCCTGATGACTGAGACACTGTTTTATGATAGTTTAGAGAACTTAAACTCCATTCATGGCGGAGGGATACATGCAGGGCACTGTGAGGCAAAATAGTCCCCAAAGAAAACTTATTATTTCAGATTTTCCACTATTTTCCATCATCAACATTCCATATAAACTCAGAAGACTGGTGTAGGTTCACTGGTGGTTCTGGACAGTAAATAATATGGCTATATTTGTGCTATACAGTGTAAACATCACAGCCCCTGGTTCCTCCAAGTTTCTCTATAATGTACCACTTCGCATTAAACCACTCTGAATGACTGTTTACATCTCAACAATTGACTTATACAGCATCTCTGGAAAAATATTCCACATTAAGGTGAGAGTAAAAACGGTTCCCTCTTATTCCCAAGACTAGTTTTCGTGCTCATATAATCTACCCGCCAGCTAGCATCGCACAGACTGCCAAACAGGCAAGACACTGCACAGAACATCTTAAAGGCTGAAGTCCGTCCATGTTTATAAAAGTGATTTAGGCAGCAGTTAGCATGATGCTAATTGTTGAGGTATAAACTTCCATTACTTGTTATTACAAACAAAATAAGAAACCACTGTAACAAAGCTAAAATGGGGAAAAAACAGATGCTTCTTCACTAAAGCCATTCTTAAAGTCTTCTGTCCATTTCCTTACGTTACTGTTACAGGCTCAGTGAACTCTTTAGGTTAATATGATTGTTTTAAAGTGGAGCAGATTTGCCTTTTTTATGGAGATTTCAGGCTCTCTCATGCACGCTCGCTGGCTCTCACGTCCCTATTTGCATAAGCAGAGACTTAAAACTTATAATAATAAACAGGGTTGATTTTAGCGCTGCATCAAGGCAAGAAAAAGACTGAAGTAAGACAGCCACCCTGACTACCTCACACTAAATGACAGAGCGCGATGCAACTCCAGCAAAACTCTCATGATTTCACTGGAAGTTTGTCTGCGACAGTGAAACTGCTTGAAAAGTTGTTTGGTGTAAGGCTGGCATTAGCTGATCAACTACATGTTGGGATTGGAACCTGATTTTTGGCTGAACTGTTGCTGCAAGTGCCTCAGATTAGAGAGCTGAGTCAGGAAATACACCCTGTGTGTGTGTGTGAGAATATAAGACACATAAGCTGCTCACCTTCCACCACCTGGTCATACACTCTCTCCTCGCAGGTGATGACCAGATCAAACTGCTCTTTACAGCTCTGGAACCGCTCCGGCCTCGGCTTAATGCGCTTATTCCGCTCCAGCATGTGCAGAATACCGTTCTGTGTGTATCTGAGCAACAGCAGGGTCAAGGAAACACCGCAACGGACAAACAGACACAAATACAGACAGCAGTGCAAAGAAAAACAAAGCATCTCAGGCTTACAGATGTGCGCAGTGTTCGATCAGGATAATGAGACTGGAATTTTGAGGCATAACAATAAAAAAAATGTATTGAGTGTGACTAATATACTGTAAATGCAAAGCACAAGGAATGAAACGAGGGGTCTTAAACTGGGTTACGTCTGCTGAGTCTGGCCTCATTAAACACACCTGATCAAACTATTTAGCTAATTAGCAAAGCCTTTAGAGTGCTGAGGGAAGGAAGAACCCAGTTCGACGCCCCTGAGTAAGACAGCTTTAGAAGTTCTCCAATCACAGATGACTTTACTGAAACATCACGTATCATCACTGCTTTTGTAAAGAACCTCTATCCAAAGCAGGATCGCTCAGCAAATAACTTCAAGGGGAATCCCAATGATTTTTCAAAATTTCTGCATAACTCAGATGTAATCAGAGAGATTCAGAGTGGTTTGGTGTGAAATGGTTCAGATGTCTTTACAGTGGTGGTGATAGGAACCAGGGGTCGCCATAACTACAACACAAATATAGACATTTTATTTACTATCCAGAACCACCAGTGAACCTACACGAGTCTTCTGAGTTTATATGGAATGTTGATGATGGAAAACAGTGGAAAATCTGAAATCAGTTTTCTTTGGGGACTATTTTGCCTCACAGCGCCCTGCATGTATCCCTCCACCATGAATGGAGTTTAAGTTCTCTAAACTATCATAAAACAGTGTCTCAGTCATCAGGCAGTGAATTCATAACCATTTCATGTAGGAACTTTCTGTGAGGGAGCTTTTAGAGGTGGACGTCTGGTTCCTATCACCACCACTGTGAACAGTTCTGACTCGGCAAGTTTCTCCAGAACAGAGCGTTTCACACCAAACCACTCTGAACGAATCTGTTTACATCTTAACCAGTTTTTTTATGCAAAAAATGAAATAAATAAAATTAAAATAAGGGTGGACTTCCCCTTCAAGCCAAAAGTGACTGCAGGAATAGGAACGCTCTCATTGCGTCTCCTTTTGGCCGAAGTTACCTGACTGAGCGAATCCTGCCCTGATAAAACTGAGCTTAACTCACAATCTCAGCAGTCTGAGCTGATAAAGCAACATGAAGCTCCAACTGTGGAGCTTCTGCGCCCCCTAATGGTCAAACAGCACCAAAATATAAACGTGTCAGGGGTCTTTTTCCCCCTAAATGCACAGGACTGAAGGGTAAACCAAACTGCTTCTAAACCTTACAAAATATCTAGCATAGTGACGATTAGGGAGCTTCATCAAGCCAGACATCTGGAGTTTCAGTATGTACTAAACCTTTATTTCAATCTGTCCAACATTGTCTACAAACAAATATTCATAAATATCTTTTTCCCTTTCTAAAATATTTTTCAAACACTGTGAAGCCCCTTTGTGAAGCCCCCTGAAGCCCCTTTACAACACACTTCTTTACCCACTCCTCGATGCACTGGGGCAAAACTCACTACTGCCCCACTACAGATACATAAACATCTAACTAACTCAGAGCCCAAAACGTCCTGAACACAGCAGGCGATCACTGTTACACCCTATTCAGGAATACCAGCCACTTCAGGGTGGGAGTGAGAGTTAATAAAGGCTTAATAAACAAATAAATAAACCCAGTTGGACTCAGGCTGTCAGACGTGTATGTACTGACTGTAAGTGAATGGGGAAGCCTCAACGGGTCATAATGACCATTTCATTATTATACAACACCAACAGGGAAACAGAACCACCGTACAAGAACAAACCACACATATTTTAACATTAGAACCATCACGATTCACAATACTCACTTTAGACTGAAGAAATAAGCTCCAAAATATGAACATATCAGCACCTGTAGACTCACAGCAGCTGGAGTTAGAGACTCAGTACTAGATAAACTATAACCTAATGTCAGTTTGACCTACACTCTTAAAAAAGATGGTCCTTTAAGGGTTCTTTAGTAAAGACAGTGCTTATATGTAGAACCATGGCCACCCAAAGATTCATTTGCATGCTTAAATGGTTCTCTGCATGGTGAAATGGTTCTACATAGCATCTAAAACAGTTCTGCTATTGTTGTGATGTCAATCTTGTCACAACAGAAGATCACTTTTTCTATATAGAACCATATACAATACATTCTCCATCGACCTGAAGAACCATTTAAGCATGCATATGATTCTTTGAGTGTCCATGGTTCTATATAGAACCATTTTCTTTACTAAAGAACACGAACTATCTTCACGACGGATCCTCATTTGCTTATGAGGAAATAAATTCAGACTATTCTGTATATTAAACAGAATAAATTGCGGATTGTAGTCGTCGCAGCTTCTTTAAAAAGAGGAAAAAAAGAGAAACGTTCACTGTTTTAGGTGCAGAAAAGACTCCTTTACTGATCCGAGACCAGTTCTGGCTCCGTTATATCAGTTCAAGTTAGTGTTTTGGCTCCATCTACAGAGAACAAACTCTCAGCCAGAAAGTCCAGCACTTCAGTGCAGCCTGGAGTACTGCACACCCCCTGCTGGTCAACTGCAGTGTTTACAGGCTTTAGGCCCCAAACGGCATCTGACTCAGCTCAGAGCTGTTGGCGTGCACTCTGAACCAGAGCTACTCAGGAGCTGCCTGAGGAAGAGCTGAGCATCAAATCCAGTACTTTTACAGAACATTCAAGAAAAACGTGTCATTCAAGACCAAATAACAACACCCAAGCAGTCATTCACTCAAGTCAAGCACTGCAGTTCACCTGTACTCTGCCAGTGACCATATAGTTCAATCTAATCTAATCCTGATCAACATCAGTGAGCCAATAAGCATGCTTATTCAAAAATCTAGAAAGCTGATTGGCTGTATGAATTATGACAGCACTTCTAAGCTGTTTGAATGAAATGAATAAATTAATTACAGCTTTAAGCCACACCCACTGATCTAAAAAAGGCATTAAAGTATCATTCAGGAATCTGTATTAGTATCTAAACATGTTGACCAATAATGTCTTTCATCATTACTTCACTTTGTTTTCATTAAAGTGATTGGTTTATGTCCCTAATCGCACACACTGCAGCGTCACTGCGCTCAGGCTGCTGCTCCTCCGCCTCCAGAATACATTCAGGATTTAATCAAAAGCTTTAGCAAAACGCCAAACTGTGTTCTATTCAGAACTTCAGCACCGACCCAATCTAACAAATAAATACTACACTTTGAAGACAAAAATTATATTTTATATATAAAATATATATAAAATCTAATTATTTTTATTTTTACTAAAAGGGAATTTTAGAAGAATGCTGTTGACAAAAAAATATAATAAAATCAGAAAAGCGTCATGTTTAATAAACTATGAGAACTAGACTCTGACTGCACGCAAAACCTGACAACGTTGTGCACTTTGTGGGGGAAAAGGGTCGTCATCATTTTGTTGTTCATCACAGACAAAACAACAAAAAAGGATCTCTGGAATGAAAAATGCTAAATGTTTCTCTAAGACTGGATATGAGCCGTTTATTACAGTCGACTCTCAGCCTGTTTTCTTCCCCAAATCCACCCAAACATACGGAGCATGTGAAGTGGTATTTTTCTACATGCTACAGCAGAAACTGTCTCGGCGTGCTTCATGCCTAAATGTTCAGTGGTCAAGTTCAGCAAAAGGAAACTAATAGACAGACACAGACACAGACACAGACACACACACACACACACACCGGTCAATAAAAGGGCACACGGTTTACAGTGGATCAGCTGCTGGGAGGATGGTGACTAGACTGCATGGGGAAGCCGAGAGAAGCACCTCGTGCATCAGCGCTACACAGACGCAGTGTCTTACTGCCTAAGTGTCGGCTAATAGGCTAAACCTGTGACTCCACATGGTCACTCTGAGGGACGGGAGTGTTTCTGTCTGTGGAAAAGGTTTAACAGAACACTAGAACTCTAACAGAAATAAAGCTATTTTCGCTCCAGCACTGGTGACCCTTGTATCCACAATATTAAAGCTGATAAACAGTTTTAATAAAAATGTATATAGAAATATTTTGCTACTTTTATTCAGGTAAACAGGTATCTCCAAAATATTAACTTTACAGAAGAAGACAAAAAAGCTCAACTTTTGATGCAAGTTAACGTAGCTGCTGCTCCATTTATCATGAAATCTTTACGCAGTATGACGGACAGCTGCCGCGCTCAAATGACGTAGAAAAATAGACATCAACAAAAACGGAGATGTGTGTTCTTTGGGCAGCGACAATATGCAGGCATTTTGCTACTTTTATTCCAATAAATACTTGAATAAAAGTTATATACACACATTTTTGCTGGTGTTCATGTATAAAAATGTTGGTAGGTTTTTTTTTACCCAGTTACCTGTACAAATAATCCTTGTGTGCTAAACTGATGCGGCCTATTCTAACTGACATAAGCAAATTCTGTGACTGCATTATCAGAGAGTGAATCCTGTGAAGACAGATAGTAGAGGGAAGAAAAAAAAGGGAGGAAAGGAAAGGAAAGAAGAAAACCTATTTACCCCTCCATTAAAAGTCCTCGTATCTACAGCAGGTATTTACTCTGAATACAGGAGCAAATACTTCAGTAAAAACTTACATACACAAATACATCTTTTTTTTCCCCACCAGAACTAATGACCTTCGGACTAAACTAACTGACACACTGGCTGATTCTGTGACTCAATTATTAGAGAGCAAAGTTGTTTTTTTTTTTTTTAATCTTCACTAAAAGTACTACCTTGCACATCAATACTGAAATAGAGAGCAAAGCTTTTAACATGCGTTTCGGAGCTATTTTCTTCCTCCAGATTGTAATTGTGAGATACGTGAAAGGTATAAGTGGCTTAAACTGCTGAAATGGTCTAAATCCCATGCTAACAAATTAGACACTACACTGTAAAAAGTGTCAAAGTATTTATTTAGGTTGAATAAAACTAGTTAATTTACTTGTTACCACATGAAGTCTTTTAGGTAGTCTAAAAAGGCTGACGAGACACTTTTTACGGTGTATAAATGGCAGTTCTCCTCCCTGTTCTAGTCATCATGTATAAAAAGGTAGTTGTGCAATAGAAGCTCGTGCATCAATACTTCATTTATGCATCTTCAGACTAACTCAGTGACTCAATTATTAAACAAACAAAGCTCATACAGGAATAAACGCCATGGAGACGGATATTAAAAACGATATTTCTCCTTCAGACAGGAGGAAAACTGTTTGAAGTGTCTTAAAAGGCTGAAAAGTTGATGCCATGCTTATGAAAGAAAAGCTGTTTTTCTCCCATATGAGTCGTCCTTGTATACAGAGCAAGTATACGCACTGATTCTAAAAGTAAATAATGGCATATCAAGGTTTACACATGTATTTGCTCTCATATTCATGCATAAAAAAGGTAGTTTTCCTTCAGTGCCAGTCATCTTTGCAGAGCAAAGCTCAGACAGCAATGAATTCTAGGAAGATGGACTTAAATCTATTTTCCTCCACCAAAAAGTGGCTTAAGCTGCTAAAAAGGTGTGAAATACCACAAAAAAGCTATTTTTCCCTGCAGCACGAGTCGCCTTTGGATCCAGAATACAAGTGCATATGTGAATAAAACGTGTATACATGTATTTGTTCTTGTCTGTGCGTAAAAAGGTATTTCTTTCCCTCCCGTATTCGTTATCCTTGTATAAAACGGTAGTAAAGACAAGCTTCTGCATCTGTACTACACTGACACTTCCTGTTTAGCACTAACATTTGGGCTACACTCAAAAAAGATGGTCCTTTAGTAAAGACAGTGGTTCTATATAGAGCTGTGAACACTCAGTGACCCATTTGCATGCTTAAAGAGTTCTCTGCAGGGTGAAATGGTTCTTCAGATCGATGGAGAATGTGTTGTATATGGTTCTCTAAGTCACCAATAAGGATTCTGCTATTTTTACAATGTCTAGCTTGTAACAGTGGAAGAACCCTTTTGAAAAGGTTCCGTATAAAACCGTATACAGCACATTCATCAGTCTGAAGAACCATTTCACCATGCGGAGAACGCGTTAAACATGCCAATGGGTCACCGAGTGTTCAAAGCTCTATATAGAACCACCGTCTTTACTACACCGTGAAAAGTGTCTCATCATGCAGAAACAAGTAAATGAAGTAGTTTTATTCAACCTAAATAAATACTTTGAATGATCGATTCTTTCAGTGTAGATTTTTAAGCTGAATAAAACTACTTCAACTGCTCGTTACCAGACGAAGTCATTTTCGTAGTAGCAGATCTGACGAACCACTTTTTACAGTGTAAAGAACCCTTGAAGAACCATCTTAGGAGTGTAGCAGTCGGTTTCTGAACCTCATATGCTTATGGTGAAGTAAATTAGACTATTCTGTGTATTGAAACAAACAAAATAAAAAAAATGCAACGATAATCATCAAAGCCCTCTTAAAAAAGCTAAATCTCGGAGAGCATCAGAGCAAAATGTTCCCCGTTTTAGGAGCGCAAAAAAATCTTCACTGCTCCAAGACTAATTTTGGCTCCATTATAAAAGTTCGTCAGTATTTCTGGCTAAATCTACAGAAAAACTCTCGGCCAGAAAGTCCAGCAAGTCAGTGCAGGCTGGAGCACTGCAGCCCCCTTAAACCAAAGGCTTAAACTGCCTTAAAATGTCAAAAATGTGTATTTTACCTCCAGTATTAGTCACCCTTAAAAAGGCAGCTGTGTAAAGAGAAGCCAGTGCATCAGTGCAACACTACATCTTAGCACTGACATGTAGGCTACTTCTCTATGAATACCACAATGACAGACGTTAAAAAAATTGTTTTCCTACTCCAGACGGTCATCCTGAGAGCCAAAAAGCAGCTCGTACTGCTGAAAGAGTCTTAAAACCCCACATTACTGAACGAAAAGCTGTTTCTTTCACTATTTCTTGTTGTCCTGGTACAAAAAAAGTGGTGTTCAGTAAAGAGAAGCTTGTGATTAACAGGTCACTGATGCAAACACGTTGGCTAATTCTGTGCCTAAACTACAGAACACAGCTGTTCAGGTAGAAATGAGTGCTATAGGGATGAATATTCCCCTCTACAAAGTGATCCTGAGGGCCCAAAGTGTCGCAAACTGCTGACAAAGTCTGGAAGTCTAATGCGAAAAGCTACAAGCCATCCTTGTATCCAGAGCAAGTGTTTGGATAAAGCAGTATCTACACACGTTTGCTCCTGAACGCAGACAGATGGTCGTTTTCCAGGTAGAACGTTCTATGGTATGTGTTGCTGTTGGTGTAGTGACTCTGTGAATGTGTGTAAGTGGGGGGGGGTGCGGTAACGGTCTGTGTGTGGGATACAGTTCCTTGTCTTTTCGGACCAGGTCGCTGTACATCTGTTCGTATGTGGTTTTGAAGTCGTACACGTTTGGCTTGTCCGGAGCCGGTCCGGGGAGTTTCACGTGGGTTCCCGTCCCGAACGATCGCACGTCAAAACCGCGCTTGCTGCAGGAACATGGAGAAAAAGTGAACAACCAGGAAAACACAAACAAAATTACACAGTTCAACAAAATCATCAGCACTGAACAGACACTAAAGGACAGTCTCCTGCATTACGACAGCTCACCTGCCCTCAGCTTACTAAACAAGAAGAGAAAATTAAGGCTGGGTATGGATTTGTACATGCCGCTGTGAACATCTGCATCACATAAATTAGTGCTTTCTGCAAGTTTAAGCTCTGCCTCAGCATAACGTCTACTTTAAATAAGGATAAAATTGATATCTGAGGCCTTTCTGGCACTTTCTAGCTTAGTATGTGTTTGTGCGAGTGTACTGCTGCTGTCAGAACAAAACCTTGTATCTCCAAAATGGTGACTTTACAGGAGAAGGTAAAAACATGCTTTACTTTTAACGTAAGTCAATGGAACCAGACGTTTTACCAAGTCATTTTGAGCCGTTTCTTTTGGTCCATTCATCATGAAATTTACACACGATGTAAAGGGCAACAGGCATTTTCAAATTATGCCAAAAACCGAAAAACAACAAAAATGGAGATACAAGGTTTTGTTCCGACAGCAGTGATATGTTTGTATGAGCAAGTAAGCGTTTGCAAATGAGCACTCATTCGCTCACAAGTGACACACTGATGGTGAGCCACTGTTTGTGTTCACCTAAATGAGGAAAACCACAACAAATGACCGATACCCCAATAAGACAATGCAAGACGCCACAGACAGCATTAAGAGAAATTCAGGCACCATTTAAAACCCATTGAGATCCTGTGGAGCTGCGCTGGGTGATGTTTGGAGAAGAAAAACCAAACCACTGTGTAACCGCAGCGAAGAACCAGCGTATGAAGAAGCTTCTTTAAATAATTCAAAAGCTTTAGAGAAGTATACTAAAGCAGTGCAAGGTGGTCTTCAAGACAAGCGAAGTGCTTGGATCAGTGGCTTGATTTCTGCCAAATTCAGAAGGGCTACCGTGATCGCAATGCCGTCTAAGACAGACGTGAGCTCGGCTACAGAACCTAGTCTTCTCAGTTGTCGCTCTGCAGGAGCCTGGTGTCTCCAACAGGGAACCTTTCCCGACATTTGAGGCTAATCCGAACCAATCAAATCCATTCTTTGTATACAAATGGTTAGATTGGATTTAAAAAAGGAGTTTGCACTCAAGAAGAAATGCTGAGAATCCAGGACCCTGTGCCCAGGAATGGATCTCCAGGACGATCCAGGGAGATCCTGGACAGGTGGCAACCCTACCTGCGGACGAGGTAGAAGACCTCGCTAGCGCTGGTGTACGAAGGCTCCTCTTCAGTGTTCACTCATGACCTGAGCCGACTGTGATGGCACCACTTACTGACGTAACAACATTTAAATGTTGTTTGAAAACTCGTAACTCAAAGTTTTTGAGCTGCTGCATGAAGGATTGTGGGTGACCGAAGGTCTGGGTGGACACACTGGTTGATTCCTTCAACTTCCCGTAAAAAGGGGCTTATTTCTCAGCCGCATTTGAAGGATCCTTACAAAACGTGGCAGCCTTCAATGGCGTAATGACCGAGTAGAGCAGCCGGTCATCATTTAAGAGCTTCTGCACGGCTCTGATTATCACGACTCCTTTAAGTACCAGTGATCAATATAAAAATTAACTAAAGAACTTTAGAGCGTTTGTTTTTGTGCAATGCTTATCAGCCGTTCACAGCGGCTGGATTTTTCTGCTCCACACATTTTCCAACGTACCCCAATAAGACCTCAATGGAATTTAAATGTCACGTAAAGAGGAATTCCACAATTTTTTCACATTTTCTGCACAATTTAACTGCTGCAATGTAAACGTTGTTCAGATTGGTTTCGGTTGATGGTATAGAAACTCACCGACTCAAGATGTCTTTACAGTGGTGGTGATAGGAACCAGGGGTTGCCATGACTACAACACAAATATAGACATTTTATTTACTATCCAGAACCACCAGTGAACCTACACGAGTCCTCTGAGTTTATATGGAATGTTGATGATGGAAAAGAGCAAAAAATCAGAAATTTTGTTTGGTCTTTGAATGGCCTCCATGTATCCCTTTACCACAAATAAACTTAAAAATACATTTACAGACTAAAATCTTCTCAAACTATGATAACTTTCTGAGAGGAGCTTTTAGAGGTGGACATCTGGTTCCTATCACCACCACTGTGAACAGTTCTGACTCTAAGTTTCTCTAGAACAGAGCGTTTCACACCAAACCACTGTGAACCGCTCTGATTACATCTTAACTATTTTATTGTGCAGAATTTGAGAAATCGATGGAGTTCCCCTTTCAAGGACTGTGTGGCGTCCTGCGTCGTCTTGCTGGAATTTCCCTCATCTGTTGTGGTTTTCCTCCTTCAAGTGAAAAGAGCAAACAAAACAACATAAAAACAGTCACTTAAATAATAAATTTAAGATATACGAGCATATAAGTTATTATTTTTGGATGGGGTGTTTATGTAAGGCGCATACATATATATAAATAAAGTCTGTATGTATTGTATATGTACACATTTAAAAAGGTTCTCCAAGGGTTCTTTAGTAAAGGCAATGGTTCAGGAATTCTACATAGAACCATTTCATGCTTAAATGGTTCTCTGCGTGGTGAAATTGTTCCTCAGATTGATGGAGAATGTTATATATGGTTCTGTGTAGAACCTTTTTGAAAATGTTTCTATATAGCATCAGAAAAAGGCTGTTCTATTGTTACAAGCTTGACATCATGTACCAATAGCAGAACCTTTTTTTGGTGCTATATAGAACCACACAACATTCTCCACTAACCTGATTAATCATTACACCATGCGAAGAACCATTTAAGCATTAAATGGTTCTACATGGAAGTTCTAAACAGCACCACTGCCTTTACTAAGGAACCCTTGAAGATCCATCTTTTTAGGGGTGTATGTACGTGTATACGTTCAGTCTTTCTTCCGGTTAGACGTTTAAAGCCTTGTTTTTTTTTAAATCCTCCCCATTTCCGCCTGCATGACACAGCAGGGTGGCTTCAAAAAGGCGAAATAAAGCAGAAAAAGCTCAGATACTAAAAACCTGAGCAAAAACGGAGCCGTTCAGGATCACAAATCAGAACCTGATACGAAAGGGAAGTCGGCTGCTTCTCACTCGCCAGCTTCTTGTTCGAATTTTCCCGTTCCACCTTAAATGGCGCAGCTGTTATATTCCAGTGTCAGGCGCTAGAGTGCAAACCGCTACCATTTAAGGTGGAACGGGAAAATTCGAACACGAAGCTGGCGAATAGGAAGCCAATCTGATCGAGGTTGTTGACACTGATTTTGCTGTTGAAGTCGACACGTTTCGTCTTCCCGTGTCTGCTGTCTGCTGCACGGGGCTCTGAGGCGCTGTTCCCCGTGTTTTCGGTAGTTTTTCCGCGCTGTGCGGTTCTTCTCCTCTCGGTTACCTCAGGATGTTGTGAGCCTCCATGCTGCGGTTCTGGTTACTGGAGCAAACGACCGCCACACGCAGCGGCTGGCTCGGCATCTTATTCACTTATTGTACAGTAAACTGGAGATAAAGCTGTTCACACGACTGAAGAGGAGAGCAGAGCGGCAGATCAGGAGAGAGAGACAGAAAACAGCCGGACCCGCCGGAGAAAGCGAACTAAAATGGCGGAGCAAAGTGAGGGAGTGCTGACGTTACGTCGCGCAGTAGGCGGAGCGGCGAGGTGGGGCGTGGCTGGGCGTGACGTCACCCTGACAGACAGCTAGATCAGCAGAACTCTTAAGCTCATCAATAATCGCAAAAACAAAGAACAGAACCTGAATTATTCGGTGCAGTTTATGTGTAACTTTTATTTATTTAATTTATTATTTTTTCTTTCGCTTTTAATGGTTTATGTTAAATTAAAATGTAAAATGTATTGTAAAAATGTCCTTTTTGTAATTGCTTCATTTCATCATTTCATATATATATATATACACACACACACACACACACATATATATATATATATATTATAAACAACAAATGACAAAATGGAGATACATGGTTTTCTTTGGACAGTTACAAAATGTATTGGATCACTCACAGGAAATGACATCATTGGATCTGATGAAGAAGATGGCAGAATGTACCCTGCTGAAAAAGGACCATTACAAACCATTTGGATTAGAACCTAATAGTTTTACTTTCTGCTGGGGATTGGCTTAATGGTTTCCAATAGTGACTACTAGTTTCCTGTAGAACACCTTTAGATCCCATTAGGAGACCATCAGATACATTGAGAATCAGCCATTGGTCACCTGTTAAACCATTAGGATCCTTTACATTGTGATATGAACCAATTAAAAAAAGCCAAAACACATTACAAAACCATCAGGAACCAACAGAAACACTCAATGGTTTCTATTGTTTTTTTTCAGCAGGGTAAAATAAGTTATATATTCCTTTAATCGTTTTCCTCATTATGGTGAGGGCTGTCCGGCTAAAGGTCAACCCTCCTACATTAACTGAACACAAATAATTAAAGTACTGTTTTATTGCATTTCCACAGATAATAATCAAATATATTTTATTTATGTATGTTATGGGAACCGTCTGGTCTGTACAAGTTTAATAATGACTAAAGCTGCAAACCTAAACCAGCCTAAAGGTAACAAGCCTGACGAGCTAAAAACATTTGAAGTTCTTCATAGAATTACCCAGTCATATTTGTAACAACATTTATTTATGACACAAATAAATAGAACTAAAAATACAGTATAATATAGTCATGCAGAACATATAATCAATTATCAGAAAGGGGTAAATAATAACACATTTTATATACAACTAGAGGAAAAAGAAACAATATGAGGAGATATCAGTACATCAGTCATAGATACACATACAAAGATGCCGCGTTGGGTCCAGCCAAGCATGTCAATGGTGCTGCCATTTTGGGGAGGTCAACATCACTGCTGGACTGCATTCAGTACCATTACAGAACGGCAGTTTAAGAAAGATACTGTCCAAAATTACACTATTTCAAGAATATTGAGCTCAGAAAGAGGGATAGGATTATATAACGGAGGGAACGCAGTGATCCACACTCATGTTTGTGTGATGAGCATTGTTTGTGTGACGTTTATGTGTAGATATGGTCGTGTGGTTAATGAGGCGCAGAGAACCTGTTGATGTGACTGTTTTTCCTCTGATTTTATATTAAGCTTATTTCATTTAATAGTCTATTCAGGGTATCTTAACTTGATGGAGTAGTTTTTTTGACAATGATGGTTAAAGCTTTGTAGCTCGGTAAGTTATAGCATTCCTTCATCTGTGTAGATATTCATAATAGATTAACGTTAGAACCTTCTTACACAAACCTGAAGTCAACTTCATATTCTCCAGCTTCTTTTTCTTTTCCTGTTCCACCTTAAATGGTGCAGCCTCAGGCACCAGAAAATAACCGCTGCACCGTTTAAGGTGGAACGGGAAAGCTGGTGAATAGGAAGCCAACTTCAGCCTCGTCCTTCTTACCGTGTTTTGGGGGTTTATTTCATTTAATGTGCATTAAGATTAGAGTGAGACTGTTTCTACTGGAGCTCACACAGCTAATCATCACAGCACCATCACAGTTATTAAATAGATAAAAAAGAAAAAAGATTCATCTGTGTCTGAGGATTATAACAAAACAAATTAGGTGAAAATCGGCTGAGTAATAAGGAAGCTGTGGCCGATTTAATCCTGAGACTCATCATCGCTTAATACACATCTATTTGTTTACAAGCGGATCTTGACCTCTCCAACATGGCGGACGCATCGCCTCAGACAGAGAACAACAGACAACACAGCATCTAGGCATGGATAGCTAAGACATCAGTAGGCAAAAGGAAAGGAGGCAGGACAGAAATATTTAAATTAATTATTCTTTTATTATTTGACACGAGAGGTTTTGTATAAGAGAGGAAAAAAGCACAGTATTCAGACGTCCCTCACCAGTCCGGTGTACTTCTGACAGTGAACGATAATGACTAACTCTCTAACAGCTATAAGGCATATAATCTTATTGGATCCACCGCAGGGATGGCGTCTGTGAACACATTTACAGTGATGTACAGAAATAAAACAGCATTGCTTTATTAGAGGAGAAAGCAGAGAAATGCTTCGGGTTTCTCTTCCATAGTCAAAGTCAGACTTCGCCTCAAAATGCTAACGCTGCTAATGACGAATGAAGGCTAGTGGGAGCCAATTAGCATTAGCACGCATACACAGTTTCTCATTTCCACCAGCTTTCATCCACTGTTAGCCACGACAGCATTTTCACATAGTTTAAAAATCAAATTTGCCATTTTTTTAATCCCCTTTCCCCAAACGTAGCGTGTTTGGTGTGTGAAATTTGCTTCTTTAGCTTTTGCAGCAGAGCTATGAGGCTAATGTAGCTATCAAATAATGAAAGCTAATCTATTCTATTTAGCATTATGCTAAATGCAGACCTAAATCATCCCTGTAGAACCCTGGAGTGGTTCAGTATCTCTAATAGCCTTGATTCTGTGGTTGTTGACACTGTATGACAATAAAAATGCTAAACTAGTGGCTGAGCTTACAGAAGCTTCCTTTACATCTTAGCTACATTAGCCTTGTAGCTCTGTATGTAGCTCTTAAGACTCTAAACATACCTTGGCTGATAGACTACATTTGTGTTGAAGGGGAACTGATTGTTCAAAATTTGTACATAATTAAATGGTTAAGATGTAAAAAGAGTCGTTCAGAGTGGTTTGGTGTGAAACGCTCTGTTCTAGATAAACTTACCGAGTCAGAACTGTTCACAGTGGTGGTGATAGGAACCAGACGTCCACCTCTAAAAGCTCCTCACAGAAAGTTCCTACATGAAATGGTTATGAATTCACTGCCTGATGACTGAGACACTGTTTTATGATATTTTTGAGAACTTAAACTCCATTCATGGTGGAGGGATACATGCAGGGCGCTGTGAGGCAAAATAGTCCCCAAAGAAAACTTATTATTCCAGATTTTCCACTATTTTCCATCATCAACATTCCATATAAACTCAGAAGACTCGTGTAGGTTCACTGGTGGTTCTGGATAGTAAATAAAATGTCTATATCTGTGTTGTAGTCATGGCGACCTCTGGTTCCTATCACCACCACTGTAAAGACTTCTGAACCATTTCACACCAAACCACTCTGAATCACTCTGTTTACATCTCACACACTGAGTTATGGAGGAATTTTTCAGATTTGCAAATCTGATTTTTGTCTGAATCACAACTTAAACTCATCATAAACTCACTAACACAGTCCGATGAAACACTTCTCTTATTACAACCGAACATTTGTACAGCATGTTCCTACAGCTAAGAGACTAAACCTATTTTCCTAAGTCTGTGCACAGTTCAATGGTAAACACATTATTATTTGCAGGAAATGAACACAGAGGTCAGTCCAAGGTCACAGGCAGTGGGCACAACAGCTTATTGGTGAAGGTTTGTGGTCATGTAGGTCAAGGTGAGTCATGTAGTTTATCGCTTTAAATAAAAGTTCGGCTTAGACAGAATTTTCCTTCCGTACCTGATCTGCCCGAGATAGGCGGAGTTTGAGGTTTGTGCTCAGGAGAGCAATGAATATTAATTTTTGATGCGCACAAACTATTACGGCTGACTGATATGCAAATATAATAACACTATGAATGATGCATTTAAAGACCTACTGCCTTGCCCTTTGGCTTTATACCAGAGGCCACAGTTTCATCTATAACTGGTGTTTTAGCTTTAGCTAGGAATGGTCAGCACAAGCCTGTAGGTAGAGGAAGTGCATTAAAAGCAATAGTGTAGGGCTGTCGACTATATTAGTGACCTATGGATTATTTTGGTGTTTAATTGAGCACTAGAACAACTGCGAAAAATATATAAAACCCCTATGTGGCAAAAAATGCATGTAAACAGGTGCATTACGCTCTGCTAAAAAAGAAAGATATGAATACATATATACATACACACGTATGTATTAGAGCTGGACCCGAATATTCAACTATTCGGATATTCGTTTGTTGAGTAGGTATTTGGTTTTTTTTTGGGGGGGTGGGGGTGGTTCAGATATTCCTTTTTTTGGCTAACTGTAATGTTTGGGGTTTTCAGGATGACTCAAGGTTTCGCTTCATAATGATGCTTTATTTTTAATTTGCTGAAAACAGCGCCAAACACAGCCTCTCCAGCGTTAACAGCTAAAACAGGGCACAGCCTTCTGCTCTACTCTGGAAAACCCACCACTCCCCTCACATTCAGGCTCTTCAACATAAAAGTCCTCGTACGAATGAACTTAAAACAGCCCAACATAAACATTTCATCTCTTTAGAAAACTGAATTGCTTACAGCGCAGCGCAGCAATGACACAGTACATTTTGTCAGCACATTCTTGTATATTCATACTTTTTAATCACACTGTTAAAATGTGTACATATAAACCATCTCAGCTTGGGCGCAGCGAACGTCATGCTAACGTGGTACTAGACAGAATGTATTCCCAGCGCAGCTGCAAACAGTGACCCACCACACTGGACCCTCACTAGGGCTGCAGTGTCACCCTTCGTACCTTGAGTGACCCTACGTTCACACCGGCAACAAATTGGCTGGAGGTCATTAATTTTCAGTGCCGATTTAATGGCAATTTCCGCCGACAGGAGGCAGTGCAAATGTTGGCGACGCAAAGTGGGCGGAGTCAGCAACGTGACAAGTTGAGCGGAGGGTAAAACTTTAAATGTTGGCTGTTAATTACTGCTGAAGCTCCAGCGCCCATGTATATATATATATATTTTCTGGGTGCAGTTTATGATGAAGCTGTTTCAGCTCTGGCCAGTAGGGGGTGCCCCAAACTCCGCCTATTACTGAGATGAGATTGTTTACTGAAATGACTGTTACAATTCTACGTAAATATGGTTCAAATCTGAACAGAAGGATTTGTTTATGTGTCATTTTTTGCTTCCAAGAAGAGAATAAAATTTTGCTCTTGTTTAACTGGAGTTTCTCCGCAGTCTTTTTGGTGCGTGGTTTCAGCGCTGCCTCAGCGGCCGAGAGACAGATTTAGAGAGTGTGTGTGAAAGTGCAGTGTGTGGGCTGTGTGAGAGCTGCAAGTGTGTATGTATGTGTGAGTGTGCTTGTCTTGCTATCCTTGTAAGGACTGCATGTCCTCACAATGATAGGACAACATGACTCAAGTGAGGACATTTTGCTAGTCCTCAGGAGAGCATATGTTGTTTTAACCACAAATGTTTTTTTTTAAACTAAAAGAGCAAAAAAATTGCCTTTTGGACACCTGAGGTTAAGGTTAGGGCTAGGTTTAGGTGTAGGTGTGGTATTACTTGGCTACAGCAATACAAAAATCAATAGAAACCTTTGGAAGTCCTCACAAGGAATGTAAGACAAACATGTGTGTGTGTTTACAGGTGTGTGTTGTGTGAGCGTGTGGAGTGTCGTGCTGCAAGTGTGTGTTGTACTGATGGACTCATGATGTTCTCAGTGATGTAAGCCACCAGCAGGCAGATGATGACCAGCATCACACAGATGGCTCCGCCCACTGTCGTCATGGCGATGACAATGTCCTGCATCCCAGAGGGAGAAACGCTGAAGTCCACACAGCCGGCTCCGTCCCAAATCTCCACAGTCTGCAGACAGTATAACAGAAAATCAAGGAAACATTAATAAGCAATGTGGAGAGCAAGGTGTTCGTTTTATGTCACATGGAGGCTCATCTACATAATTTATTAGCTTATTAACTTTTATTAAATTAATCAATCAATCGAATCATTATGCCTTCATTCAAAACACTACCTGTGCAGCAAGTGATTTCTTCTTTTACTCAATCTGTCAGAGTGACTGTGTGGATCATATGAACATTACAGAGGCTTTTTAAATGGAACGGTAGAAGCCATATCGCCCCCTACACTTCCTGTAGTGTATTACAGTCTGTCAGAGTGACTGTGTGGATCATATGAACATTACAGAGCCTTTTTAAATGAAACAGTAGAAGCCATATCGCCCCCTACACTTCCTGTAGTGTATTACAGTCTGTCAGAGTGACTGTGTGGATCATATGAACATTACAGAGCCTTTTTAAATGAAACAGTAGAAGCCATATCGCCCCCTACACTTCCTGTAGTGTATTACAGTCTGTCAGAGTGACTGTGTGGATCATATAAACATTATAGAGGCTTTTTAAATGAAACAGTAGAAGCCATATCGCCCCCTACACTCCCTGTAGTGTATTACAGTCTGTCAGAATGACCAAATCATATGAACATTATAGAGCCTTGTAGAGCATGTACATTTTTAGACTTCGTTCCATAATCAATAGCATTGATAACTAATCAACTTAATGATCAGGCCTACTACAGTCATTTGTCATATATAACAGCAATATAATATACTTTACCTTACAGAACAGTACAATATTAACTATAATCAAAGAAAATTTTGGTTTGGAACCAGACCGTTTTCATTTTATGCCCGTGAGGTTTTCTCGTCTCGGCTCCGTCCCAAACCGTCCACAGAGGCTGCATGCAGATGCGGTAGGGCACGTTCTCGTGGAGCTCGGTCAGCAGGAAGTCCCGGCAGCTGCTGCCTAGGATAATGCTCGCACACTCAAACTGCGTGTAGCTGCCGTTCCACCAGCAGCTCATTCTAAACCCCCCATTCTGCTTCTGCTGCCCCCTGCTGGGGCTCTTTGGTGGGGCGGGTACAGTCTCTCCATCGCCCCCTGCTGTTGGAGTCACTGTAAGTTCAGGGACTCCTGATGGGACCCCTAAATTCCCTGGGTTATTTGATCTGCCCCGTCCGCTGTAAGTCCACTGGAGCAGCACACTGCCATTGGAGAGCATGTTCGCCACCAGGTGTCCTCCGGGTGACCTCACCTGCCGGCAGGTACCGCTGGGACACGTGAAGTCCACCTGAGTGTGACGGAAACACAACCGTCCCTCTTTGCCGTCCTCCAGGACGCGGTAGGCACACAAAGGCCCAGCATCAGCCTCGCTAGCTGCTTTTTCACTGGCTGCTCTTTCGCTAACTGCTCTCTTGTTAATTGCTCTTTCATTAGTTGCTCTCTCGCTAGCTACTTTCGTGCTAGTTAATCCCTCGCTAGCTGCTCTCTTGCTAATTGCCATTTGGTTGTCCAGAGCAAGACTGACCCCGTTGGGTCCATCCTGCTGCTCTGAATCAAACTCAGCACCCCTGCTTTTGACGGGCAGCAGCGCCACCTGGCTGTAAGGCTGATCGCTGGTGTTCACTCCCCTGCGCTCGCGCTGTGATGATGCAGGACGCCAAATGCCGCTGACCTGGTGAGTCACGCTGCTCAGGCACAGCAGCAGAGTGACCCAGGAGAGGAGAGGCGAACAGTGTCCGGACATTTCGCTCTCATCTGCAGGTTTTTCTCCGCGCTCGGGCCTTCAGTGCTCAGCAGTGGCAGATTCAGAGCATACACAAAGAAGAGCAGGGGGCGGGGTCTGCAGGGCAGGGGGCGGGGCCTCAGGATCCATCACACTCTGAAGAGCAAAACGAACTGGCAGCCTGCGAAGGAGAAAAGAGGAGAAATATTATTTTATAACTGTGTAATTAACAATACTATTATCATTATAACATTAGACTACTGTTAATACACAGATGACGCATAAGTATTAATATGACATATATTACTGAGAGAAAAGCTTTGGTATGCAGTGAATCTATTTAGGCCAGATTTATGTGTACATATGCATGAAAAAATGAAGAAAAGAGGAAGAGAAAGGGACAAAAATGTGCTACATTTGTTTACAATATTAATTTGAATATGAAATAAAATGAATAAAATCACACAAAACCAGTTTATACTCATTTTAATGCGACTTTCTCATTAATAGTTAAGCCAATATATAAATGCATGTATTAAAGGGCCCATATCATGGAAAATCCTTACTTTTTGGAAATAAACGATGCAGTACACAAAATTAAAGTTTTCCATACACAGTCCACATCTGGAAACCAAACTGCAGAAACAGCCTGTGATGTCACAAAAATCAAGACATTTACATTTATCCACCTATTTAGAGCTCGTATCACCCCGTTACACACTGCACTGACCGCCTGGATCTGTTAGAGAGAGTTTAAAGCTCTGCTGCTGTTTTTAAAGCTCTAAATGACCTTAAAGCTCCTGGACGTCTGTTTATGATCTCAGATCTGCAGATTCTGACCTTCAAACACCTTCAGTAAAACACAGAAACCGTGGAGAGACTCTTTCTGTTATTCTGCTTCTAAACTGTGGAGCTCAGTTCAGCTCTTATTAGACAGTCGAGCTCAGTTTTCACTCTCTTTGGTGTTTATCTGTTGAGTCTGATCTGTTATTGTCTAATACGATTTTAATTTAATACTCATAGTTTCTTCTAATACTGTTAAGCTTTATCAGCTGTCTGTAAAGCACCATGAGCAGCCACTGCTATGAAAAGTGCTTTATTAATAAAGAGAATTATTATTATTATTATTAACAACAACAGTTTAGCTCCGCCCACTCACACTGAAGTTATAAGGAGTGTTTCAGCCTGGACTGCTTTCTGAATGAAACTCAGAATGGAGCTCATTTGCATATAAAAGCCATAGTAACAAAAACAGCCTGTTTAAGTCTAAGGCAGGAGTTGCAAACTAAATGTTAAGAAGAGCCGTTTTGTCCTTTCCACAAAAATCAAACCACTTTGAGAGCCACAACATTTTATGTCCATTTTACCATCTTGGCTGTTAATATGTCTCAGTGTGTGCTGATGTTCTAGTATAGACTAAAAATATAATATAAACAAAAACGCAGACTTACTTTGCTCTGCTTCAAGTTTCAGCTCAGCTACAGCTGCTTCTCTCACATCTCCAGCAGGAAACTTTTCCTCAAAACTAGAACAGTTTCTTGTAAAATATCTCTCAACGTTTGACGTTTTACGAGGCTGAAGTCGCTTCTCATTCACCAGCTTCTTGTTAGAATTTTCCCGTTCCACCTTAAATGGTGCCTGAGGGTCCAGAATGTAACTGCTGCACCATTTAAGGTGGAACGGGAGAATTCAAATAAGAAGCTGGCGAACGAGAAACTGACTTCAGCCTCACAACTTTTTAGTGTTTCAGTTTCTCGCTGCAGATTAAACGTATCAGGAAACCAGCTGGAGTGATTATAAAATAAGTCCATTCATCTCTAAATTATCAATGTTCATCTTAAATCTCTCTCTTTGTTGTTTCGTTAGATACTAGCTAGGCGAGACTGTTGTCTGTGTTGCTATGGTGACCAGCAGTCTGCGCTGATCTTCAGGGTTAAAGGGTGAATCAGCAGTTCTACATTAACTCCAGAGTTTAAGACCATTTATTGTTAAACTGTGTTGAACGATCAGCAGAGATTTATTTTACTGTAAAGGAGGATTATTTTATTTTTACAGGACAGTAAAAGAGCCGCATGTTGCTGACCCCTGATCTAAGGTATAAACATAAGTTGGAAAATGGCCACGTAAAAATTAATTATGGCTGTTTTTGTTACATAAACCGACATAAATGTCATAAGTGGGCCTCTGGGAAAAAAATCTCCTAAACAGATTACAAGAAAACATTGGATACGGGCCCTTTAAAAGCTCCAGAGGAAATGGGGCTCCTAATAACCACCTGGAAGAGCTGATCGACACCAAAACTGGCCCCATCAGATAAACAGCACTTCATCTTTGAGACAGTGGAGAAAATCAAGCTCCAGTCCTGAAGGCACAGCGATAAAGACAGCCTGTTTCACTGTGAGGGATAAAGAGAGGCTGGAAATGAACCTGTAGACATGAATTACGTAAGAAACACGACCGGCCCCGAAGAGAAATGCGGGCTATGGGCCCTTTAAAGACACAGGGGGGCAGCACGGCTGATTCATTCATGCTGGATGAGCTCAGAGCATCATCAGCCTCAGCGTTTCAGCCCTAAAGTGAGGATGAAGGTATAAAACCGCGCTGCCTACCTTCGGCCCGCGTGCGTCTGCGTTAAACGCGCTGCCTACGTGACATCAGCCGGAGAGCACGAAGTGAGGATGAGGAGGATGGCTGGCGCGCGCGCTCACGTCACTGAGTGCATGTAATCACAGAATGTGCTCTGCCCTGCTTTTATCCCCCGTCCTTACCTGCAGCGCGCGCTGCTCTTCGTCCTCCGGTCTTCACCTCGAGCGGCTGTTATTATTCTCCTCCTGCTGCACGCGCTCCTCTCTGAGCCTCCATCACATCACTGTCCTCCTGTCTGTCTGTCTGTCTGTGCAACTCAGTCCAGTCCCTGTTAAAAAAACCCCTGCGCTTCCTTTGGCGGTGGAGGCAGCAGAGTGTCAGATGTCGCCCCCTCGTGGTTGGTCCTAGTAATGCAGTCCAGTCCTATTTCTTGTTTTTACCTCTACCCCTTGTTTTCGAGTGTTTCCCCCTGGAACTGAGTTACAGGGTAGTGGTTGAAATCTTCCCTCTGAAATGGGACCCTCAAATAAAAAGAGCATCACTTCATTAACAGCTACCAGCGCTGCTCTGTAGGAGACCCTGCCAGTCTGCAGTGACAGCAGAGGAGGCTAAAGTTCAGCTCCTCACTGCTGGGCTTTAGTTACATTTAGGGCATCATATGATCTTCAAAGAGGGGGGCAATTATTTATTATCACCCACCACTAATTCTTCAGTGATGTGAAGCTGAAGTCAGATATTCACCAGATTCTTGTTCGGATTTTCCCGTTCCACCTTAAATGGAGCAGCAGTTCTGATGCCTGAGAATGTAACTGCTGCACCATTTAAGATGGAACGGGAAATTTAGCTAACTAGCTACAAACATCAGCACTACTGGTGATTTTTTTATGCTTGTTATGAAGAAAAGGACCAAAATACACTGAAACAACATTAAACTAAGATAGTACGATGATTGTCGTAATTTTTACCAGAGAAAATTCTCACATTTGCGGTTTCTTTGGTCTCTTGTTCTCCATCTTACCGGTTTTTCTTTTTTTCTCATATCTCTCTGTTTGGAGTCTCTGAAAAACCTCAGTTTGGAGGGTCATGTAGCTCTAACACTTCACCCTCCCCCTCTATCTCAACAAGAATCGGGACACCCTACACCTAGACGAGAACGGAGGGGTAGGGCTGAGTGGTAGGGGCGAGGTGAAACTGAATACAGGGACATATTTTTGCTTAATAATATAATTATTATTTATTTAATTTTAGAAAGTAGAAGTTTTTATTTCACCAAAAAAAAAAACCTGTTTGTTTATTTTTTTCTACAGCAAACAGGTTTTGGGCAACATTACTGCTACTGAGTGCTGATTGGTTAGCATTACTGCTACTGAGTGCTGATTAGTTAGCATTACTGTCACTGAGTGCTGATTGGTTAGCATTACTGCTACTGAGTGCTGATTGGTTGGCATTACTGTCACTGAGTGCTGATTGGTTGGCATTACTGTCACTGAGTGCTGATTGGTTGGCATTACTGTCATTGAGTGCTGATTGGTTGGCATTACTGTCATTGAGTGCTGATTGGTTGGCATTACTGTCACTGAGTGCTGATTGGTTAGCATTACCGCTACTGAGTGCTGATTGGTTGGCATTACTGTCATTGAGTGCTGATTGGTTGGCATTACTGTCACTGAGTGCTGATTGGTTAGCATTACCGCTACTGAGTGCTGACTGTTTAGCATTACTGTCACTGAGTGCTGATTGGTTAGCATTACTGCTACTGCGTGCTGATTGGTTAGCATTACCGCTACTGAGTGCTGATTGTTTAGCATTACTGTCACTGAGTGCTGATTGGTTGGCATTACTGTCACTGAGTGCTGATTGGTTAGCATTACCGCTACTGAGTGCTGATTGTTTAGCATTACTGTCACTGAGTGCTGATTGGTTAGCATTACCGCTACTGAGTGCTGATTGGTTAGCATTACTGCTACTGCGTGCTGATTGGTTAGCATTACCACTACTGAGCGCTGATTGGTTAGCATTACTGCTACTGAGTGCTGATTCGTTAGCGTTACTGATGCTGAACACTGATTGGTTGGCATTACTGCTACTGAGCGCTGATTGGTTAGCGTTACTGCTACTGAGCGCTGATTGGTTAGCGTTACTGCTACTGAGCACTGATTGGTTGGCATTACTGCTACTGAGTGCTGATTGGTTAGCATTACTGCTACTGAGCGCTGATTGGTTAGCGTTACTGCTACTGAGCGCTGATTGGTTGG